CCGCTCGTGACTTGGGTGCTACTCCCTTGCCCGCCTTGGGGAGCCCTGCTCTGCCGCCGACCCCCGCATCTAGGGGCGCTGGCCTGCTGCAGGTTTTGTCCAGGCCCTGCCTGAGGCACCCCTCGGCCCTTGCCGTGCTTCGCCAGCCGGGCAGCACTCGCAACGGCGCCTGTGCCCCCCCCTCTGCCAGGTTTTCTGGCCTCCCCCCACCACTGGCTACCGGTGTCTGGCCGCTGTCGCTTCCTTGCCACTTCGCGCGCGGCGGCTGCTACTCAATTGGCTCTCTTCCCCTGGGTCATCCGCTCGCTTTTGGCTTGCCGCCCTCTGTGGGGCGCGGCCCTCTCGCCCGCCGCCGGCTGGCGTCCGGGCCTGGCGCTCCCCCTCTCGCGTTCTTTCCGCCCGGGCCCGTCGCTCCCCCACTTGGCGGCGCACCGTCTTTCTTGCCTTGGGTGCCGCCCCGCGCCCCTGGGCCGCTTTTGCTCGCCTGGTCTCGGCGCTCCCCACCGTTGTCGATGTCGGGGTTCCCCCCCGTCGGCGCGGGTCGAGGTCCTGGCTGCTCGCCTCTTTCGCCCCCCCGCCGCCTTCTCTCGGCCGCTCCGGTCCGCACCTCCTGGGCGGTACCTCCCCGGCCGTCGCCCCCGCGGTTGTGTCTCGCAGGCCCACAGGTCTCGGCGCTCGCTTTCCCTCTGGGCCGGGCCTCGGTCTGCCAGGTTGGGCGCCGTCCCCTGCGGTGCCCCTCGCTGCCCTGATCTAGGCTCCTCGCCCACTGCTTCCGCCCCCTCGCGCTTTGTGTCGTCCCGCGCCCGCCCCCTCGTGCCCGCGGCGCAGCGCCTGCTGCTGAGGTTGGCCCGGTTGGCCCGCTTGGCCCCCTCTCTCCTTGCCCGCCGGTCTCGGTGCTCCCGCCTCTCTCTGGGCTGTCCTTGGTCCAGGGCTGGGTTCCGCCTCGTTTTTTTCACCGCCTGCTGCAGCTCCTTGCTGCCTCCCCCAGCTTCAGCTCGGCGCATTTCAGTGCAGCCTGAGCCAGCGCTGCCCCCCCCCCTCTGGCGCTGCCCCCCCTGCCACCGCCGGCAGCTCTGAGTGGCCTGGCTTCCTCTCCCCCCGTCGCGCCAGAGTTCCTCCTCCCCCTCCCTTGCATCGCGGCCTGAATTTGCATGCAGCGTGTCCCCTGTTGCCTTCCCGCCGGAGCAGTCGACCTCTGCCCAGCCGCCGACGCAAAAAGTGTGTGTGTGTGTGTGTGTGTGTGTGTGTGTGTGTGTGTGTGTGTGTGTCTGTTTTGGTTAGTTTTGTCCCTTAAGTTGTCATTGTGTGTCAGTGTGTGTGTGTGTGTGTCTCTGTGTCTGTGTCTGTGTCTGTGTCTGAGTCTGTGTCTGTGTCTGTGTCTGTGTGTGTGTGTGTGTGTGTGCGTGCGTTTGTGCGTTTGTGCGTTTGTGCGTGCGTGCGTGCGTGCGTTTGTGTCTGTGTGTGTGTGTGTGTGCTTGTGTCTCCGCGCGGGTCCGAGCGACTGCAGATCGCGAAAGCACGCGGCGCGGGTGCCGCGCGGGAGCTGCGCCCGCAGGGCTGCGGCGCGTGGGGCTCCCGCCCCCGCCGCGCGCCCTGGGGGGGGGCGCGCCGCTGGAGCGGGCGACGGCCCGCTGTCGGAGGGCGTCGGCCGTGCGCCTCCTGGGCCGGTCCTGCCCGGACCGGGCCTGTCCCCAGTCAGCTACAGTTAAGTCGGGCCTGTCCCTCTGCAGGGGGAATACTCCCAAATATTTACAAATTACTCAGGGGATCATTTTTTTTTGACTTTGTTTGAGCATTTTTGAGCTTTTTTTATGTTTTTGTATTTTTCTTCATTTTTCGCCCAAAGTCCCCCTGTGGGGGGACAGGCCCGACTTACAGCTACAGGTAAGAGTTACTTTTCGAGGAAGGGGCACGGCCATAAACATAAACTTTTGGCGCTCCACGCGGACTTGTTGGATCTGCGCTGGGGCGCCCTGGCGGTGCCTCCGGCGCCGCACCTGGCGCGCTCCGCGCGCCGGGGAGGAGGGGGCTCTAGCCCAGATCCAAGAAATCCGCGCGGACTTCCAACACATTATGTTTATTTTGTTTTTTGCCTCTGTTTTCGCCGGAGTGACCTTGGGTGCGGGCGCAGTGGGGCCCCCAGGGGATGGAACGCGATGCGACGGCAGCATCTTGGCCTCTCCGCGGCGCCCGACAGTCGCGCACCAAAAACCCCTCTTGCTCAGGGTCGCTCTCGCGCATGGCCGGCCCCAGGATCGGTGTAGATGCCCTGCAGGCCCCACCCAGGAGGGCGTGTGCACGGATCCCTGGCCCAGGATGGGCGCGGTCGCTGCGGCGGGCAGGCGGCCCCAGGGGTGAGGGCCCTGGGGCTGCCGGCTAGTGGGAGACAGGAGGTGTGAACGGAGAAGACGGCACGCGACATCGCGAGCGAGGAGAGAGAGAGAGAGAGAGAGAGAGAGGGAAGACGAGGACCCTAACCTCGAAGAGGAGGGTGAGATGGGGTGTGGCGAGCACAGTGCAGCGTGGGGCGGTGTGGCGGCGTGGCCACGCTCGCCCAGGTGGAAGGTGCAAAGGCCTCTCCCTCTGCCTTTAGGACCCCCCAGTAGGCGTCCACCAGTCCAACGACAGGGACCCTCACCTGCATGCAGGCGAAGGGTTCCCGAGTGAAGGACTCGCGGCCGCCTCTGGGGGTTCAACTGGGCGTGGGGGAGGTTTGCGCCTTCCGAGGCGGCGGCCCCAGCGAAGACAGTGTCGCGGGTGTAGTCCCACCTCCAATCGTATGTTCCTTTCCCTCCACTGTGAAGCTGAGCCGCCGTCTGCGACGTAGAGATGGTGGACTGGCGGCAGAGGTGTTCGCTGATCGCAAGTTGAAGCGAGAAGGTGCGATCTATTGAGCGAAGCTCGTCGTCTTGCAAGCGAGCTGCGGGTTGGCGGCTGGTTGGGATCGGGCTAGGAGGCTGCGGCAGATAGAGGTGCACGAGGATGAAAGGGTAGTGAGGAGTGTGGCGTATGTGCTGCGAGTGCGGTGCAGTCGCACTCACCAAGTGGATGACACAAGGGCCTCTCTGACTCCACGTAGGGTTCACCGTGGGAAGGGGCCTTGTCCGACCTGAAGAGCCTTCCCCCGCCGAGGCAGGCGATGGGTTCCAGCAGGGGGACTGTGGCCTATCCATGGGTGCTCAGTGGACAGGCGGAGGTTCGGGCCACCTGGGGTGGCGGCCGCGGTCGTTGTCTCTCCCTCTCCAACCTCATTATTCCCCCCCCCCACCCGCAGTTGGCTGACGGTTAGTGCGGTAGTCTACAGGTGGAGCCCGTGGTACATTTGGAGAGAAGCGTGCGCAATGGCTGGGAGCAAGTGGGCAGAATGAAATTGGCGGATGGGGCGAGGTAAACAAGCTCACTGAAAGAGGAGGCTTAGCAGTGGGTGTGCCTCGCGGCGGCTGTGGCCCCTTGCCGTGAACGTTCCCAGAGCCGCGGCCGTGGGAGTGGCTGCAGGGCGGATCAGTGCAGACAGGCCGTGGCTCCGCCGTAGCCAGCGTGGGGAAGAGCATGGCGGTGAAAGAGAGGTTGGTGCAAGCACACGCTGGGCGAGGGCGGAGTGCGACTAGGTCCGCATCAGCCTATTGGCAAATGGCCGTGCCTGTGCGCCGCGGTTCGGGGCAGTTCGCAGCTCCGCAACCCGGTTTTGCTCCAGGCGCGAGCGGATCGCCTCTGCCGCGCCGCGACGGAAAATTGCGTGCTGCGGCCGCCGCGGCCCTAGCCAGGACAGCCGGCGGTGAGATACCCGAGTCCTGTCCCCACGTATGACCCCCCACCCCGCCGCCACACGGGTGTGGAGGCGAAGGTGAGGAGGGAAGGGCGGGGGGAGCGGGGGCGGCAAGAGCAGGTGAGCGGGGATGTAGTGCAGGTTGGGTATGGGGCCCTCATGACCAGTGGAATAGGAGGTTCTTCGTGTTGCTGCCTCCGAGGCCCCAGCTCGCAACTGGTGTTTCAGGCCCCGACCCAGGAGGCGCATGAGAGAGCTCAGTCCACTGGGCGGTGTTGCTTGCACCTCTGCGATACGTCGGGTGAGTGGCATACGTGGGTGAGAAAGCCACGGCCGGCGTCGGAGCCCTGTCTGACCGTGTACGCACTGCATCACATTTCCTGTTGTAGGTGTGCCCGCCGTGAGCGCTGTTCTGATATTGTCGCCGCGAGAGTGCTCGTAGAGGGGGGTGTGTGCCGTCACCCAGAGGTAGAAATTGAGAGAACGATGCGGTCCAGCTGTGGCTGCTGCGGTGTGACAGTGAGTGCGGTGTTGCGGTAAGAGAATAGTGCAGAGGTCGGAGCTGGGAAGGGGCAGCTGGTGCTTCGCAGGAAAGGTCTACTGTCTACTGTCTTGAGAACAACATTGGTAAGACGATATGAATGACGCACTGGTGGTCCTTTATTAGGCACCCCCCACCATGACATGAGGCGGGTGTTTGCCTCGTCTGCCAAATTGTGAGCAGTCGGGGGGGTGCTTTTCTTCTCCGATCCTCCTCCTACTCCTCCTTTTCCTATCGTCCTCGTCCTCGTCCTCCTCCTCCTCCTCCTCCTCCTCCTCCTCCTCCTCCTCCTCCTCCCCCCTCCTCCCTCCTCCCTCCTTGTGCTCGTCCTCGTCCTGCTCCTCGTCCTCGTCCTCATCAGTCAGTCCTTGTCGTCGTCGTTGTCGTCGTCGTGCTCCAGTTCATCCATCGTTTTTCGTCGTCGTCGTCGTCGTCGTCGTCGTCGTCGTCGTCGTCGTCGTCTTCGTCGTCATGCTCCGCCTTCTTTGCTCATCCTTCTCCCCCTGGGCCTCTCCTCCTCCTTCTCCTCCTCTTCCTCCCCCTCCTCCTCCTCCTCCTCCTCCTCCCCTTTTTCCTCCCTCCTCCCTCTTTTTCCTCCTCCTCCTCCTCCTCCTCTTCTCCCTTCTCCTCTTCGTGGGGGGCGGCCCGAGAAAGTATCGGGCCCCGACAGAGGCCCAGGGGAGCGCGCCGCAGGATGCCGGTTTCCTTCGCCGCGGATGCGGAGGTCGTGGAGGAGGAGCCTCCGTCAAGGCCCCCGCGTTGACCCCCGCGGCCCCGTGCCATTGGGAGGGGAAAGAAGGGGGAAGGAAGGAGAGCACATGTTCTCTACCCTGTGTAATCATCCTGCACCCTTTCCCAAGAGTGTGGTCAGAACGGCAGTGCCACAAGTGCGAGCTATGCTCCGACGTGGCTACTAAGATCACCAAGGACTGCCCCCATGGGTACGAGTTAGAATGGAAGGGGGAGGAGGAGGGCGTGGAGTCGGTCCAGGTACCGATACCGCTGCCCTTGTCGCGTTTTCGCCTTGTTGGGCCTCCTGGGATGCTCTCGTCACCACGGCCGGATTTCCTTTGACATTCTGGTTAGGATGCATCCCGTGAGAGGTGCGGGGCTTATTTTGAATAGAAAGGAGCACTCGCGCGAGTCTTGTGCGGATGCCTTGTGCGGAGGACGCTGTGCGCCTTGTGCGGGGCTCCTCGTGAACGCCCGAGGGGTTGGATCAGCGCGAGTGTTTTTGCAAGAGAAGAGGATGCGGGTCCCCAGAGTGTACGCCACCCCCACCTCCATTCTTCCTCCCTCCTGGGAGACTGAGGGGGTGATAGATGATGGTGGTGTGTATTCTTGGGCCCCGTAGAGGAGACGCAGAACAAACGCGATGCGCTCCTTTGCGCAAGATCCCTTGTGCGCGGTGTGCGCTGGCACTCGTTGCTCCGGCGCTTCGTTCTATCACTGGGCGCGTGGCACTACTCGCAAAGTGCCTAATCGCAAACATGCAAAAACATGTCTTCCTTTCGGTAATGGGTCGTGAATCCCCTGCGGTGGATCCAGCTAATTTACGAGCAGTTACTTGAGAAGTAGTGGAACGCGCTTGTCGATTTCTGGTAAACATAGGGGCGGAATCGTTATCTGTTGGTGCCCCCCAGAGTGGGGCGAGGGGGAGAAGGGGGGGGTGCGAGGACGGCGGGTAGCATGACGAAGAGGAGGGGCATGGGGTAGGAGGGCGAAGAGGATGGGGACGAGGAGGAGGAGGATGAGGAAGAGGAGGAGAAAGAGGAAGAGGAAAAGGACAATGAATACAAAAACAATAGTATTACGAATAGTACTGATAATAACAAGCATCGTGGATACGCAATAATACTATGAAGAATAAACACATACGAAGACGATTACGATGCTAGGAATAATAAGAGTAATAAGCATTTCATGAAGAAGAACACTCATGATAGTACGTCGAATAATGAGTAATACACACTATTAGCTAACATATGGGCAATACTACGAGTACGAATGATAATCAGCATGCGTAATGCTTGAACAAATCATAGACACATCATACAACCTGACAATGATATAAAGATAAAGCTAATAATGTAATACTAACAAACAGCACTGCTGGTAGTAATCATAGCAGTACGAATTTTGAGAATACGAAGAAGAAGACGGATAACATTTACTACTAATAAGAACGCTACTGATAATCAACTTAGTCATAGTTATACGGAGGCTGTGCATACGAATACAAGTAGTAATGCTGTTTGTGTAAACATCTAGTAATAGGGAGAAGTCGAGTAATTCGATTACTAACGACAATACAAATACTAGTTACACGTATACGAATAACCACACTAATAAGAGTATTGGAAATGAGAATAATACGACCACGACTGCTACTACTAATAATAATAATAGTAATAAAATAGTAATATTATTATCAATACGGGTACTATTAATAAACATATTCCCACATAAATCGTCAGGATATCCTACGAGAGAGCGCGATTCCTGAGTGTCAAGGGCGCGGCGTCATAATAAGTTTGAAAGGAGTTCACGCGAGAGCGCGATGCCTGTCTAAGTTGCGAGGAATTCCCGCGCGCGAGCGCGATGGGGGAATACATTGTGAGGAAGTATAAGGAAGGAGCCGCTGTTGAACTTTCATTACTGAATAAGAACTATTGTTCATAACCGCCTCCGGTAACATATGTGCTTTTTAAGTTGAGGTGCCCTTCCCAGGGCTCGTACCTGGTTCTTTATCAGGGAAAGTCTTCCTCAGACTGCGCCCTTGACCCCCGAACTACAACAACAACGGTTCCCGCTTGATACCCCCTCACAATTTATTCCAAAATCGAGCTCTCGCGCGGGACTCCCTCACAATTTCCTCAGGAATCGCGCTCTCGCGTGGGACTTCCTCGCAGTTTATTCAGACGCCGCGCCCTTAACATTCAGGAGTCACGCTCTCGCTGTGGATATCCTCACGTTTGATTTGGGAATTGAGCTGTCGCTCGAGACTTCCTCGCGATTTATGCAGGACCCACGCTTCAGCAACCCGCCTGCTCAATCTGGTCGCCTGGGCTCTCCTGCCCTACCCGCCTGGTCGGGTCTACCCGCCCGATCTGCCCGTCTGGTTCAGCGACGTGTTTTCTGCTCCTAGCCCCCCTCCTATTTTGTCTCGGGCTGCACAAAATACACGTTGCAG